ATGAACTAATTATCAAACTTCACGAATCACCGAATTACAAAACAAACCCAATCGAAGAAAAGCTTTAGAAAACCAGAGTACATGCAGTACTATAAACTACCTACAATCTGGAATATATCTTTGTCCCTTTTAACAACTCGTACCAGTGAAGCGGTGCTTTGGAATCCCCGTCTTTCATGTTCACATCGGCTCCTCGTGATATTAGCAACTCCACCATCTCAAGATTCCCTTTAGTGGCCGCCATGTGAAGTGGAGTGGTTTCTTTAGATTTCCTAGTGTTGACGTCTGCGCCATGGTCAAGGCACAGTTCAGCAGTCTTGACATCGTTATTCAATGCAGCCATGTGCAAAACTGTGTTATCCTGCAAGTCCTTGTTATCTAGCAGCTGCTTTAATTCAGTCTTGTCGACATCTCTGTCTGCGGCTGTCAAAGAGAGGAAATATAGTACAAGACGTACCTCAATGACGGCAAATATGCGTGTGTCACTCATAACTAGATACAAAACGGCTGAATTAACAACGTTTAGTTTTAAGGTGGCAATGTGTACAATGATGCTGTGCACTGATCCAACGAGAATCAGTAGTTGTTATATGCAAGATTAAGTACAGTCACATACTTNTAGGGCCAGAAAAGGGTCTGCTAAAAGTGTGGCTTATTTGCGTGTTTGTCATGAACTAATTATCAAACTTCACGAATCACCGAATTACAAAACAAACCCAATCGAAGAAAAGCTTTAGAAAACCAGAGTACATGCAGTACTATAAACTACCTACAATCTGGAATATATCTTTGTCCCTTTTAACAACTCGTACCAGTGAAGCGGTGCTTTGGAATCCCCGTCTTTCATGTTCACATCGGCTCCTCGTGATATTAGCAACTCCACCATCTCAAGATTCCCTTTAGTGGCCGCCATGTGAAGTGGAGTGGTTTCTTTAGATTTCCTAGTGTTGACGTCTGCGCCATGGTCAAGGCACATTTCAGCAGTCTTGACATCGTTATTCAATGCAGCCGTGTGCAAAACTGTGTTATCCTGCAAGTCCTTGTTACCTAGCAGCTGCTTTAATTCAGTCTTGTCGACATCTCTGTCAGCGGCTGTCAAAGAGAGGAAATATAGTACAAGACGTACATCAATGAAGGCAAATATGCGTGTGTCACTCATAACTAGATACAAAACGGCTGAATTAACAAAGTTCAGTTTTAAGGTGGCAATGTGTGCTATGATGCTGTGCACTGATCCAACGAGAATCAGTAGTTGTTATATGCAAGATTAAGTACAGTCACATACTTCACAAAATATTGGGTTCTGATAGGCTGAGACATGGGTGCAGCTTTTCGGTAATACGGAAGCAAAAAAAACGGTTACAAGAGTGCAAAGTCGTCTTTTTAAGGGAAATTGCATCGACGTTTGTACGAAGAAATTTGAAGACTATAAAACGATTATCCCAGGTGTTTCATAAAGATCGATTGCGGAAGATCACTTCAATGATGATGGCCAATTATAATTAGCACCCTACAAAAGACTTCTCAAGATCATTAGAAGACCCCGCAGACTTTCCAGGAATTCCCAAGATTTTCCACAAATGTCCGGAAATTTACCATGTTTGTCGACGATAATCGAATCGCCAAAGACTCAACTGAAGGTACTGTCAAGATAATCAAAGTGTCGTGTCTTTTCCCGCCAATAATAATAATTTTTTTATGTATTCCGTTGTTTCTTTTGATCTCTTTTTCTTTTGATTGAGAGTTCAGTCACGAAATTTTAAGCTTTTCTTTTCTCGTCCTTTTGTCGGGTTGTTTCGAAGTATTCTCGAGCTTAACTGTTGGGGCTGGGGTTGTCCGTGAATCGAATGAGCAGAGGTTGAGTATTCTGCTTGTGGAGCGCTGAATGGACCGATCGGCGACACTAAAGAACGACAAAGAACTAGAGGTTTGTGACCGCTCTCGTGTTTTCGATTTACGCACACCACACAAAACATTGTCAAGATAATTAAGGCATCTCAGAATGGGCCAGTTTTTAAACCATGAACTAAACAAAGGTAACTAATATAGCAAATTACTTAATACCTTATACTTCGGGAAACCATTACATGCATCATCCGGTTTCTATGCTGTATTTCCTGTAGCTTTAAGCAACTGGGACATCACTAGAGAGCAGCGCAAAAAGACTGCGAGAGCTAGAAAAAAAGGAAGTTGTACGGCGTGGAAAAGCAAAAGAACACGTTCTTTCACTCCTTGAGCCATACCTCTCCTATGTTTTTTTCGCTCCGCGTTTTTCAGCTTGAGGTCAATTTGGCTCAAACTCAATATTCTTTATCAAATTATATTCTTTCACAGTTAACGGGGGAAAATAACGAAAAAAAAAATGGCATTTGATATGGGATAGGGTACGACTGATAGACTAATTCGATCACTGATCACTTGGCTAATACAACCACTTCTGTGCAGTCATGTCTATTTTCTAACCTCGGTTTAGTATCATTGTTGCCACCTGTGAATGACCATTAAGAATGGCGTTGAGTAGAGGAGTCGTGTTGGCTGCCGTAACTGCCTTGATGTCTGATCCTTTGTCCAGTAGAAGCTGGCAAACTCTGCTTTGTCCTTCACTGCAAGCCATGTGCAACGCTGTTTTTCCAGAACTATCCCTGACATCAACTTTGACTTTCGRGTGCTCTAACAGAACTTTAACGATCTGGTCGTTTCCTCTGCGCGCTGCAAAGTGCAATGGAGTGCTTCCCTTTGTGCCTTTGATTGAAGGGTCGGCACCCCCTTGTAAAAGAGTGTCAACGGTGGAGAGACCATTGAACCTACAACATATGTACAAAGAAAGGGTTTACATGTCATAAAAACAACTAGAAACATTGTCAAAATGGCGTTGAGATATCGTTTGGAATAACCTTGCCAGAAAGTTAAAAAATTCTTAAAATTAGACAGTTCGCAGTCTCCTTTTCTTTCGGGATTATGAGTCGTGAAGAATTAATCTAAAAATGAGATTGTGATGTGACGAGACATGGGCACAGCACGCACGTCCTAACTCTTTCTAATCCTTTCCGACCTTTTGCATTCGCCAAGCACTCCTCGGACCGTAACAGAAGGACCAATTGCCAGCAGTCTTTCTGAAAATCATCTGGAATCATTTTACTTACGGAATATATAAAAAAAAAGCTGGGGGTGATAAAAGATGCGTTGTCTTCCCCTTCCCCTTGAAAAAAAATAAACAACAACAACAACAACAAACAAACAAAAACAAAAACAGAATAAATAAAGAGCATAGCAATTTTATCGAAACATCATGTGCTGGTCTCAACCATTGCGTGACAACCACTGCATGACGATCGATGACTACACTCGCCATACGAGAGGTTTTGCTGTACACCTGTCCACCACGGGGGTCACCACGGGATACGTGAACTATGTAAAGTATTCTTTCAGTTTAATAAGACTTCTTCTTTACTATTCTGTAGCATGCATGTCTAAAAAACTATAACATTCAAAATGGCGATCCCGTAAACACACACCCCAAAACGAGCACCTAATTATTAAAGGCGGGAACCGAAACAGATACATTACATCTCTCTTATCACAAAATGAACGGAATAAACAGTTAAAACAATCAAATGCGCTCAAGAGTGTTTTTCGCAATTGGTTTATAAGTCAGGTCTCACAGGTGACTTCACAACTCGACCGGATCGGGTGACGTATAGTTCATTACAAGCATCCGGGCTCTGTGGATAGGCTGTGGGCTTCTGGTTAAGCTTCGGTTCTGATTCTGTCTCCTCAACACTTTTCGTGACCTTCCGAAGAGGATGTAGAAGTTTCTGGTTTGTCACCTTGTCCCCTTGGATTTTCTTTTGCGCATAGGGATCTTGTTGTCAATAAGTGACGTCTGTACCTGCGATACTCACTCACGATATAACCTCGGGGTGCTATGTGGCTTCCAATATCCTGACTTGGTTTGGGTAAGAACTTCTTCATCACTTGCAAGGGGTTTCAGCTCTCTAGCTCCGTGATTATAGTAACGCCTTTGAGTGGCCTGTTTTTGCTCCATTCTGTCTCCAGCAAGTTCAGGATGTACAACGTTTAGTCTGAGTTGGTTGCTCGTGGTGCTGCATTTTAATAAACTCAGGTATGGATCTCTTTTCTCCAACCTGGCCTTCTTCAGGAGCGGTTTTGCAGTGTGAACGGATGTGGGACTGCTTGTGACGTGGCTGAAATCCCAATCACTGGTGAACCGAGCAAATCCCTGTGCGGAAAATTGGGGGCCGTTGTCCGACACTACTTTTTCAGGGATGCCGTGTCTTTCAAAGGTGGCTTTCATCTGCCGAGCTAGTCGTGCTGGACATCCGTCCTTTCCAATTCTACTGTAGTGGTGGACTACAATCAGATAATGTTCATTGCCAAGTTCACACAAATTAGTTGCGACGTTTTGCCATGAACGATCATTGGTTCCTTGGAGTTGGACGTATGATGTTCAGTGCAGGCTGAACAATTTGAGACAACGACTGCTCGTGCGGGGCCAAAACATGACCTCCTTAGCTCGATTTTGTGACTTTACCATGCCCATGTGTCGGTCCTTTTCCATGTGTCGATTCTTTTCTGAGCGCCGAGGGAATGACTATTCTTCCTCCTTTGAACACTAAGCCTTCCACCACCGAAAGCTTTTCCCTGTAGTTCCAGAGGGGCTTTACTGACGATGGGCAAGTGCTTCTGTCGTTTGGCCATCCCTCTCTGATGACTGCAATTAACCGTTGCATGTCAGGGTCACATGCCGTAATAGCTTGTGGGTCTGACATCTTTTGATCGGAGACAGGTAGGCTCGCCAGAACCAGATGTACTTGAGCATCGAAAGCTCCATATCTGTAATCGGTTTCTCTAAGGTGCAGCCGTGAGAACGTGTCAGCTACCGGAATTTCTTTCCCCAGCTTGTGGCGAGCACATTTCTGAAGGAGTAGTATCACTCTTTGCAGTCGGGCTGGGGCTGCAGACAAAGGGTTTCTCAGAATTGCCTCTAGGGGCTTGTGATCTGTGGTTACTTCAACACGTCTGCCATAACTGTATTGATGGAAGCGCTCAGTGCCGAATACTATTGCATACATCTCCTTTCTTGTTTGTACATACTTCCTGTTCTGTGGGACTTAAGGACTTTGACGAGTCAACAACAGGTTTTTCTTCCTGCAAGAGCACAGCACCAAGACCGTGTTTCGATGCGTCCACTTATAGTGTGACCTCCTTGTCTACATAGTAGTATGCCAGAGTTCCAGCAGATATCATCAACTTCATGTAATTGAAGGCAGTGTCTTGTGCACAATCCTATAAAAACACAGAGTCTTTCTTTAGCAGGCTTCTTATGGGTGCAGTGGTATCTGTCAGGTTTGGTGTGAATTTAGCCAGATAGTTGACCGTCCCGAGCACGATCTCGAGTTCTTGTCTGTTTCTTGGTGGCTTCATCTCTTGCATGGCTGCAACTTTCCTGGGATCTGGCTGTACTCCTTCGTTGGATAGCACATTGTTATTATTACATTACATTATCATTACTTTTATTATTATTATTATTATTATTATTATTATTATTATTATT